GGAGGCGCCCTCGCGGGCGATGGCGGGGAGGGCGCGGTCGAGCCTGCCATCGTCGCCGCCGAACATGTTGATTTTCCTCGTGGGCGAGCCCGCGGAGAGGGCGCTGCCGGCAGTGTTCGACGACGACGGGGGCCTGCGCGAGCGGGGCGCGTCCGTGTTGAAGGCCTATTTCAACCAGAGCGAGGGGGATTCTACCCTGTGGGCTAGATGGGGTCCAGCGCGTTCGCTCCAGGGGCGTCGCGCCAGGCCGTGGATGACAGCTGCGGCGTTGTTTTGGAGAAGCGATTTGCGGCAGGATGGCGCCGAGGGAGAGTCGTGGAGATCGCGCTGCAGCAGTGCTCTCATCTCGCCCTCCCTGAAGCAGATCACAGAGGAGGAGGAGGAGGACATGAAGGCCCTGCTCGCAAGGGCCCGCGTCGTCGTGACCACGGACACGCGCGTGCACTTCCGCTTGGCATCCGACGACTTCCCAGAGGGCGGTGTCGTGCACTTCTACATCCTGACCTGTTCAATTACTCGCCCGAGACACGCGCGTGCTGCGGCGAGTGCAAGGACGACTCGGCTTCGCCGAACAATTACCCGTCAGACTTCAAAGAGAAGACGGGGTGGTCGCTGAATTTCGCGAAGCGCTTGACGCGCGTCGAACACATGCCAGCAGTGTCGACCACCCGCAGGACCCCGCTCTTCGGACAGCCCGTGCGCAGGGTTCGGCCAGAGGTCGTGCCCCCGCCAGTGAGCGGCTGGGGGGGCGGCGCGGCTACCTCGAGCGGCCTGGCAAGGCCATCGGCGGCCGCTGCCGAAGGGTGCGCTGGCGTTCTGAGCAACGTCGACGCGGCCGAGCAGGCGGCGTTCTACGAGGCGATGCAGCAACAGTTTTTCGATGGCAGCAGGAAGGACAGCGGCGCGCTGGTGGACCTGCTGTCGCCCCCCCGTCAGCGCCTGGCGACGGGCGCCTGGGCCCCCCCCGGGCGCGGCGGCGGGCTCGGTGACGAGGGCGCGGCCGAGCAGGCCGCCATCCACGCGCAGCTCCAGCAGGCGTTCTTCAATTGGAACCTGGCAGGCGCGCAGGTGGACCTCGCCACGCAGCGGCGGGCGCCTGTGGCCGGGGCGGCGGCGTGGCGAGCTGAGCTGCTGGGGGGGCGCAACGGCCGGGCGCGGGCAATGCTGCCGCTTTCCGCTCGGGCTATGAGGGTGCGCGCGCCGCCGAGGTGGCGCGCGCTGCCGTGCCCCAGGTGAGCCGCTAGCGCAATGCGTTGTCCGCCGTAGATTTATTCTAGCTATTTGTGCGATCGTGCATCCATGCTTGTGCCATGTTGCCACTTCATGAAGCGCGCTGCGTCGTCGTCGCCCCCCGGGAGGATTCGTCGTCTTCGTCGTTCCGATCGTCGCCATCGTCGCCGCCGCCGTTTTGATCGCCGTCGTCGTCCCTGTCGCTGTCGCGTCTGATGGCAGAGCATTGATTGACGTACGTCATGTAGCGTTTTTTGTTGTTCCCACCCATCTCTCTCTCTCTCTTCCCCTTTTTTCTCTCTCTCTCTCTCTCTCTCTTTCTCTTTTTGTTGTTCCTTCTCTCTCTCTCTCTTTCTCTCTCTCTTCTCTTCTTCTCTCTCTCTCTCTATCTCTCTCTCTCTCTCTCTCTCTCTCTCTCTCTCTCTCTCTCTCTCTCTCTCTCTCTCTCTCTCTCTCTCTCTCTCTCTCTCTCTCTCTCCTTCTTTTTTTTATATTTCTTTTTTTTTTCTCTCTCTCTCTCTCTCTCTCTCTGTTTGGTTCTTCCGTTCGCGCCGTGCCCTCGCGCTCTCGCTTCATGCGCGCCGCTATCTTCTCGATGCGTGCGCGTCCTTACAGTCGTTCGAGCCGACTGGTTGAACGCGTTCTCGTCGCCGTCGTCATCTGGCTTCGCCCAGCGCGTCGCCTTGTCGCAGCGGCGTCGCAGTGGCGACTCGGGTCTCCGCAGTCCGCGCCGCGCGTGCACTGCAGCTGGGTTGGCCCGAGGGCATGTCAGCAGGGCGCGCGTCGGCGGCGCCTGCGGCGATGGCAAGCATGGCGCGCGCGCGTGCAGCAACGCCCTGAAGAGCATCAATCACTACCAGGTTCAGGGAGACTCGTTCACCGACCAGGTGGGCCAGAGGGAGAAAAGGCGGATGACAAAAAAAAATCATCATCATCGTCTGCGTCTTCTTCTGGGCCGAGCTGGGGGTGGAGATCTAGGGGTTAACAGGGGGTGCAGTTCGAAATGATCTGGGGCGCAAGGGTGGTGTTCGGGGTGCAGTTCGAAGGGATTCAGAATGCAATGGTGGTTATCATATCTTGGGGCCTAGGGCAGGCCCCCCCCTCTACGGAGGGGCTTATGTTCTGAGATCTCACCTCGTACTTCCTGCTGGGCGCCTTGCTCGTCGCGAGGTTCCTGGCTTCTCTGTCGGCAGCCGAAAAGATGAACGACGAACTGATGCATCAATTCACGTGCAAACCACTACGCCTAAGACTAGCCTTTCGCAGGTGGGCCAAGTCCGGCAGCGCGCGACAATTCATGCCTGCAGTTGCTCCGTCGTCCTGGACGGCCAGGAGCTCGTCATGTCTCACTACTGCTACTGCCGCGCACGGTCGGAACCGGGCGCGCCTTCGACACTTGTACAGGCCATCCCATCAGCGACTCTTCAGAGCAGGTATGCCTTTTTTGGTGGGCGCGGCCAACACCGAGGGGGTTGATTTCATTTGTTTGGACAACGTCGAAAATATTCGATGCATCCCTGCTGTCATTCGGCCCCGCAGCTGGGACATCACCGCGTTGACAGAGCTGCGCGGGGATTGGACAGCGAATTTGAGATCGCTGAGGAATTCCTGATAGCGATTCACAAGAAAGTCGCTGTGGTACTGTCGCCGGCGCCACGGGCAGCACACATGGCTTCGGACTCCAAGGTTTTCCGCTTCTCTAACCTCGTCATGGGAGTGCGCTTGAAGCTCCCGAACATGGACAAGGAGACATTGCACTGCAGCGTGTACGTGCTTTCTGGTCTTATTGCTGAGGAACGGGCCGCCCAATGGAGTAGCGTGCCCAAGCTGCGCGAATCTTTGAAAGACACGCAGTTTGCTGTTATCTCCCAGGGGGATTGGAACGCCCACCGCGGCAGGACCGGCAGGAACGCGATTGCAGACGACGCATGTTTGGGCACATTCACATTGCCAACGGCTACCGCGCAATCGGGCAAAGCAGGCGTAACGTTCATGCAAGATGCTGGTCTTCGCTGCGTAGATTCTTTTCTTCCTTGGGAACGGCGCGGTACCTGGAGACAATGTTAACGGACTCTGGTGCGAGTTGGACTACGCGCTGACCTCCGGCATACTTTCTAAAGCTTTCAGCGACATGAAGACGTTCTCCACGGGCTGCACAGACCACATGGTGAAACAATGCGCTCTCCAGGTCCGGGACAGCGCTAAACGCAGAGCAAGGCAAGTGCGCAGGCAGATTTTTGTTGCAGCAGCACGCTCAAGACAAATCTTTCGAGAACAAAGTGCAGCCACTGAGATGCGATCTACTTCGAGATCCTACGGGGCGCGGCCAGGGGCACAAGCGGCAGTTCCAGGGCAGGGTCCGCCACCACACTGCGCAGCTGCTGGGCGCAGGACAACCCAGGAACCGAGACGAGGAGTTTCCAGAGAACGAGGCCTCGCAACACTTCTTCGTGGATGGCCCCGGGCCCCCCTCGGACAGGAGGCCGGCTGGGGAGCTGCGCTGTTCCTCGGAGAGGCTGGAATGAGGGCTCGCGAACGATTGCCAGAACACCTTGCCCAGATCCAGCCGCAATCTGGCACGGCCCGGTCCAGAAGATCACGCAGGCGCTCGACTTCTTGGGGGCTCTCTCGGCTACCAACAACACCGGAGAGATGTCCGCGATGCGCGTCGTGCTGCTCGCCGTGGTCATGGAGGGCACCTCGACGACTTCAGTGACCATCTACTACGACAGCACCTATGCCGCCAACATGGCGCGGGGCACTTGGCGCCCAAAAGAGAATGTCCAGTTGGCACGCCGGCTCCGCCGCTTGTGCAAACAGGCACAGGGACTTCGACCTCTTCGCCTTCAACATGTCAAGGCTCGCTCTGGCATCTGGGCACCAGACGTAGCTTCCCTGCATGGGCCTAGGATCATGCAGAATATCCAAAGACACTCAAAAGTAGCTTGCTAATAGGTTTCGAGGTTTTCTGGAATTTAGGTCCCCGCAGAAGGTGTCCGCGCCTATGAGATAGTTCCCGCGGAAGGTGTCCGCGTTCAATCAAGATGTGAACGCAGTTCCGCCGACCCCCGAACCCAAAACGAGTTTGGAGATGAAGGTCTTATTTTGAATGACGCCCGGGGGCCTTCCGCGAGGCCTGCTACCGCCGCGAAGTGTTTGCGGTCGTGGGACCTCTGAGGGTTCGCGCATAAGGGTCTCTCGGCGTATTTCTCGCAGGGCACCTGGCCGTAGTTTAGGGGCCTATTGAGTGGCTCCGTCTGAGCCTCTTGAGTCATCCTCGGGTTTCTTGGGGCATCGTTTGGGTGCCTTGCTGCGCCCGCTGGGCTTTTCTTCGGAGGGTGCAGGGCGTGGGGCCCCGTCCCCGCCATGTTCTCTCCACCGCCTTCCCCTCCTGTGTCTCCCGCCCCTCTTCGCCGACCCCCGCCCTCTGCTGCCCTCGCCCCCCCCCCCCCCCCGTTCCCCGTCATCCCTCCCGCCATCTCGCTCGCGCTGTCCTTCTTCTTCGGGCCCGTTCGCGGCCCTCGCTGGCGTCGCCCTCCCGCGCTGACCTTCTGTTGTTCTCCTTTTTTTGTTGTTTTTGTTTTCCCCCCCTCTCTCTCTCTCTCTCTCTCTCTCTTTCTCTCTCTCTCTCTCTCTCTCTTTCTTTTTTTTTCCCCCCTCTCTCTCTCTATATATATATATATATATATCTCCCGCTCCCTCGCCATTTTGGCCCGCCTTTCCTCCTCGTCCTCTTGCCTCCTTTCCCTCCTCTTCCTCTTCCATGCTCTCCCCCCCATCCAATCCTCTCCCCTCCCTTCCCTTACCTTCCACCCCCATCCCCCCCTTCTCTTCCGCTTCCCTCCAACCTCCAGCTTTTCTCCTCCATCCTCTTCCCTCCTCTCGATTTGTTCACGCGGGGCTTGCGAACGTTCTTGCTGATTCGGCGCGGCGCTTCGGCCCCGCAGGCCGTCCGCGATGCCTGCATCTACGGATCGCCAAGCAGTTCCTGGAACATGCGACGTACATTCGCACGTTTATTTCAGTTACTTCTACAACATGCAACGACCTATGAGCGAGGTATTTCTGAGTTACTTCGATTTTTTACAATGATCGGTTCCAGCAGGACGCGCGCATCATAAATCTGGGGCGACGAAGTGGCAGACAAGCTCGCCGACGAGGGCAAGACGGGCCACCTTCGAACACCAGACTCTTTGGGCTGGACTACGACACCTTCTCTGGCACCACAGTTGGAGCCGTCCTTCGATGACTTCGAATCAGAGGAAGACCCTCTTGGACTGGGTGGAGACATGGATATGCAGCCGTCGCCCCCCCCCCCCCCCTCCCTCCTCCCCCCTCTCCCGCTGCCGCGACCGGACGCAGCTCGGAAAGCTTTCGCGGCCCTTCCCCTCCCCTCGTCGTCTCGGCTGGGCGCGGCTTGGACGGCGGGCGCCCCCCCCCCCCCCCCCCCCTTCCCCTCCCCCCCTGGACGCGACGAGCCGGCAGCGACGGCAACGCGACGGCGTTTGCGCGGCAAACGGACCCACAATTACGACGACAAAGAGCTGGAGATGGCCAAGGCCTACACGGGCCCCAGTTGGCACGACCCGAGCACGATCTTGAAGAAAACAGCGGCGGACACAGTGGGCAAGGGCACGCGGATGGCCGTGGGCGCGCCCTTCGAGGAGGCCGACAATGACATCATTGTACAATTGCGAGACGAACTCCAACAAGCATGGCAGGTCTTTCGCAAGGCTCCTACCCCAGAAGCAGCTGCTGAAGCTCGACGACACCATCGTGCTATCTCTCGCCGGCTACAACGTAAAATATTTCATGTTCGCGAGAAGTTCTTTCGGCATCGCTGTGGGGATCTAGAAGACGATATGGCAAAGAACGACGTGGCATCCTTCTACAAAAACCTTCGCGCACTCGGCATTCACTTACACGGAAAGACACATCCCAGCATGGAGCCTAACACCATGGGTGACATCATCACTTCTCTGGAGACTTTAGGCAATGAGACGTTCGAGGGCGACGAGGATGTAGTTCTGAAGGGGCTCCCCGCACGGGCGACTCGACCCGAGCTCAACGCGTTGCCTTCGGAGGAGGAGATCCTGGGGCATCTTTCTCCATTTAAAGAATCGGCCCCTGGTCTCGGTGAAGTCACAGCTCTCATGCCACGTGAAGCAGGTGAAGAGTTCCACTCGTCATTCGCCCCACTGGCACACAAGCTTTGGGCTCAGGGCCCGGCACTTTGGGATAATAGCACATGTGAAGTTGTTGGTTTCCGCCTGTGCAAGAAAGGCCCCAAGACGGATGTCGCCAACTATCGCGCTATTTGGCTCGTTCAGATGATCATGCGTCTCATGCAGAGGATTGGCGCCAAACGCGTGTCCACCGACTTGGAGTCCGAAGGCTTCCTCTCAGAATGCTCATGGGGGTTCCGCCCCTGCAGAGACGTACTGGGCCCCATCTTAGTCAGCCACCTTATTCTGGAGTTCTGCAATTCAGTCAAGCCCCCCCCCCGAATGGGATGAACTCTGCCTCATTTTATTCGATATCAAGAAAGCATATCCACGAGTGCCACAACTTACCGCTGAAAAAGGATATATGGAAGATCTGGCTTCCCTCCGAACATGCTTCGACGGCTGCGTGCGTGCGACCGCCGCTGCATGTGCCAAGTCCGCAACCAAGAAGGCCTCTCGCGTACGTTCACGATGAGCAGACGTTTTCGCGAAGGCGGACCGGCGTCGCCAGCGAAATTCAATATGCACCACGCCAATAGCAGTCGCCACGTTCGTACGAGTCTCACTTCAACCATTCCTGAGGTTGGAGTTACTCTGGGGCAGCTGGGCAACCCAGTTACCACGCAACGCGGAAAAGGCATCAAGCCAGAACAACAGACGTTCACAGCGGAGCCCGACCCGACAGGACGGTTTCAGGACATTTTTCAACTAGTGCAGATGTTGTTCGCTGACGACACTTCGTGTTGGCGCAGGTGCTCGAATCACGTGGATCTGGAAAACATGGCAATCGATTGAGTCGAGGCTTGGGGCGAGACCACGCATGCAGGCAAGACTGAACGACTCCGCACACGTAGAACAAGCCCGGTTCCTTGGGGCCCGGTTGCAATCCAACGGATACCACGACGTCGATGCCGACCATCGTCTGCAGGCAGCCAACAAGCTATGGCGGAAACTCAATCAACAAGTTCAGCGTCTGCAGATCCCTTCCCGGAGTGTGGGGCGCATCGTGAACGCCGCGGTTATTGCTTGTTTGTTCTTTGGACACGAATGCCGTAGTGTGACCGCCACCCAGATGCAGCAATGCCGAGTATTTCTTAACCGAGTAGTGCGAGGAGTATGACATCAACGCATTCGAAGCATGCGTGCCGACAAGGCTACGATGCAGGATTTGCACCAGCGCCTGAACTTAGATGACGTGGAGGCCATCGTTGTTTGGAAGCAGGGGAACTTCTCAGGCCATGTCTTGCGTCGTGACCAACATCGCCCGGAGAAGAAGCTTCTTCGAGCGGTCGTTATTCCAGAATGCGCGCGCGCAGCGGCTCGAAAAAAAACAAAAAAAAAACGCCTTCTACAGCGAACATGTTTACCGCGCGCTTGAAGGAGCTGGCCCACTTCAGCGAGCTCGCCGAGCAGGGATTCCGAGCCCAAGCAGATCATGTTGCTCAAGATCGGCACGCGTGGAAAGCATTGATACGCCGAGAACGTAAACGTTGTCGTCGTGTACTACAGCAACGCACCTGGCTGGAGAAACACGGGAAAGACCCGCGCAGGGATCAAGTCGAGGAGCGCAAACGGAAGCGGGCAGAGGAGTTACGCGGCATCATTTTCAACGAGGACGGCATGGCCACTTGCCCTCACTGTTCAGATGTCGTTACTCGGGTGCAGTGCCTCATGCACATCGCCGCC